CAGATATATATATATATATATACACACACACACACACACACACACACACACATATATATATTAAAATTTTAATTATTTTAAGCACTCCTAAATCTCCAAAGCCAATGCAATTTATTTAAAAACAAAGCTGTAATTGTGTTAATTAAACATTTTGTGCAAATTTTAAAGCTGTTTTTTTGCAAATTCTAAGAACAGAATTGTTTTTTTGTCAAACTGCTGCACTGCTTCCTTTTGTGTATTTTCAGGTCGTAACAGGCTCCTTAATGCTTGTTGTAGCCAACACCAATCTCAACGAAGTGAAAAGACAAAACCGAGCAGAAAATCTCAACAACAGCATTACTGTTGGTGTATTTTTGGTCGCAATATTGAACATCCTTATCTCAGCACTTGGCATCAAAAACAGTGATGATCTTCAAACAGCACTTATATCAACCATCAATGGGGCAACATCTTAAAGCTGAAGAAAACTATCTAATTTAAGCTAATAATGATTTTATGATTTTTCATTTTGTATCATACTCATTTTTTTACCTCTTCTCATTTGTGTTCACTTCTTTGTCTTTCTGGATTACTATTATAATTGCATCTATGTTCTTTATATTTAATAAATGAGTTATGAACAAACTTATGCGTCATTTAAATAGAGTATTTCAAAATTCATGATGAATCATTACAATATAAAACAATATACAACTATATACTCACATTGAAAAAGTGGTACTGGCTTTAATGTTCACATCTAATATTTTTGCATTTTCAGATCTTGGGTGTTTCGGATTTGGCTAAAATAGGTATTCTAGTAATTATTTTATTGAAAAACGATTAGCTGTTCAGCTTAGCATATGCCAACATTTTAAGCAAAATGAAGTATGTTTTTTGGCTCAATAATATTTTGAATGTTTTCAAAGCTCATTAGCAATTTCGTTAAAATGAAACCCTGCACGTATTTGCTATTACTGATTTATCATTGTGCCAGCAATTGAAAAGTTCTTTTTCGATATAAATTTCATTTAATTCTGAAAGCACAAATCTGAAACAAGAAATAGTTAAAAAAAAAAGTTTAATGGTGATGTTGAAGAAATGAAAGACATAATGACCAAGTAAATGGCTATTTACGTTAAGAAGTTAAATTTTGATTCGACATTTATCCGACGCATTAATTGATAAGTAAAATGGTCTTTTATTTACCAACCAGTTTTATTTTACTTTAAGTCTAGACAGAAGATTTTTTGTTGTTCAACAATTTTTCTTTTTTTAAAAATGTTACCCAAGATTTTATCATTTCATTACCGGCGTTGAACAGCCGACACAATTTCGTGTTTACGACTACTAATGTGCAACTTCGTAACCTTGTAATTTTAAACCCGATTCAGAAGACAAGGGAATTCCTGGATCATGTATAGGAAGAATTTTTCCTTCGTGGAGGACTTTTTGACTTCATTTGCGTTAAAACGAGAGGGAAACCACGAATACCTACCTCGGTAAGCCTGACGGCAAGGGTACTGTAAGCCATGATCCGTCTACCACTATAGATATTTTACGTCAGATACTCACGATTTGAAACTTAACTCATTTAATTCTTAAATATGAGTACTCTAATACATTTTTTTTAAATTTAGGCCATCTA